CACGCAACTTAGCAGCGCGACTGAGAGGCGCCATAGAGTGGCTCGTCTGGACAGGCCCTAAGTAGCGGCACTTGGTGGCGCGTAAACTCCTGCCATTCAATTCAATGTTAAAATTTAGAAGCTGTCCAGACGAGCGTCTGTGGCGAGCGACTGTGGCGAAGAGAAGCAGGTCCCAGCGACGAAGTGGCGACAATCAGTGGCTGGAACCGTCCACACGGGCCACTTTTGTCGTCGACTGTGTCGTCGACTTCTACAGGCATTGGTAGATATATTTTATTTTGATTGCCCGGATCTGGATTAAGGGGTTCAGTATTGGCTGAGTAATATGGCGTTCGATGCAGATCGATTTATAGTCGATATTAAAAAATAACGTTCTGTAGTTTGGAACAACAGTACGAAAGAATATGGTAATATGATATCAAAGAGTAAGGCTTGGGAGGAAATTTGTGGAATTTTCACTAGTAATACCACTAGAGGTCAAATTATTTCCGGATTTTTTTTGAGCTCATGAAAATTTTCTAAAAATATTCATGAGCGAGAAAAAAATTCCTGATATTAATTTGACCTCGCGTGGTATTCGGTAAGAAAATTCCACGCCGAATTATGGTTGAAAATTAAATATTTTTAAAATTTATTTTTCGTTTCTCAACAATGCAAATTATTTTCTCCAAGTCACCAGTGAAACATAAAAGGTGTTGTCGCCTTGATTGTTGAGTTATCATGGTAACTAAGTGAGACCCTAACCTTGAATATAATTTCAGTTTTGAAGTTGTCAAGCGGCCCGACGTAAAAAAATGTTTCGCTGCAATTATTTAGGCCTTTAAATTGCTTATTTCTGCTCATTGTAGTTGCATGGGAATACCATTTAAAAATAGAAAATAGTATATTCTTTAATTTTACGTAAGTTTTGAATAACTACAAGTGGTATAAAATTGTTTTTCTTCGTTTTTATTAACATGCGTTATGAACGCTTTAAAATGGTATGAAATTCATAACCAGCGTCAGCAAGCATCAATCGTAGGAGGCTGTGATCATTGTATTTTGACAGTTCAAAACATTAAATAACTCGCGTTTTGTTGCGATAAAGAATATTGCACAGCAAGTAAAACCAACAAAATTACCTATTTGTTTGAAAATGAATCGATTTGAAAATCATACGCTATGCAAAATATGCGTGAAATTGTCTGATGTAATGATCAATCATTGCACCATGACTTACTTACTCGGATTAATAGAGGATTGTGGCTCCAACTTGAAAAACGAAAATTTGTTCCGAATTGTCCACGAATATTTGCACCTAAACTACGCAAAATTCAAAGTGCTGAATGGGAAACAGGTGAATAAATTAGTGTCTAAATATTATATATATTTTATTAGACATAGACACATAATTCAAAGCATCCAAAGTCCTGCATTTTCGCCATTAAGAAGAAAAGAAGTGGCCGAAGAATATAGATAACACCTTAGCATTGTAACTAAAATGTATCAAAACTAAACCTATTATGTGAACAAATAAAAACCAGTCTGTCAAAAATGGTCTGTTATTGTAAACGTCAAAAAATTTCCAGTATAATTCGCTGTTGGGTACCCTACGAGAAAAAAATTTCCACTAAAATACCTCCGTTGCCATGGTGATCTGTCAAAAACACGTATTTTGATTGGTTCAAAATTACAGGTGTGGAATTTTCATTGAAAATTTTGAACTCCCTATAGGAAGTTTGGTAAATAAACGGTAATTTTTGTATATTTTAAATTCATTTAACTTTTTACTCTTCTTGTGATATCCGAAGTATATATTTTTGTTGTAATGTTATTTATTTATTTGGGACACATTATGATATACGTAATATATTGTAAAATAGCGACACTCACTAAACCAACATTTTAACTGGTCCTATATTCGTAAATGTTTTATAATAATAAATTGTTGTTTACACAAACTTATATAACAATATATAAATAATCCATTTATTATCAATATTTTAGTTGTTAAACGATTTTTGAAATAAGCAGTTTTTCTATTTTAATTTAAGAATATTTACTCCATCGAGTAAACTGGAAGCTATGCACTATAAGGAAACTGCGTGGTCCTTTATAAAAAGCAAAATAATAATATTTTTTTGTATCTTTTGTTTCCTTATTATAAATAAAAACTTTCAAACGATTGATCATTTACCGCAAGTCGTTCTTCGGCTGGAATACTTATTCTCATATTTGTATTTGACTTTATTATATTGACTTCAAGAAAACTAAAAAGCTGATTAAAAGTTGTTTTTTTGACATTCGGAAATAGTAGAAAAATTTAGCATTGTCGCTTTTCAATTCATCTGTAATAGTATGAAACTGCCCAAATAATAAACTTTCAGAAGTAATGGGGGTTGGTCCAAAATCTTCTAGGTTTTCACGGAAACGTGGTTTAACAAGAAGCGCTAGAAGGAATACTTCCTCGTCTGAGTCCATAATGACACTGAAAAATTTTAATTACCTTCCAACATGAGCCTACTATCAGAGACAACAGAGACGTGTAACTTAATAGGAAAATATGTTCGGTGGTCCATTTAAATTAAATATATGACCCTCTTTTTCTTTTACATTGATCTTTACATATGTCTATCTCTCTCCAATAAAACTAACACCATTTTCAGAGGGCGCTGGTGTTGCTGGTTTTTTGACGTCAAAATATCGATTAAAACTGACAACTGACAATGTTATGAATGTTATGAACATGTGCATTTTATTAAAATTAATTTAATTTGGGCCCCGTATATTTCTTTGAGTCTGATTTTGTTGTTTAATTAATTTTCTTTGGGGGGGGGGGGAATGTTTATTTTTGCATATTATTTTTTGCATGAAGCAATTTCTGGAACCAAACTCGCGTTTTTGTACACATTTCTTTCTAGAGGTAAGTAATTTCCAATTTATTCAGAAAACCACTGTATAATGTGTGTGTTTAATAATATATTACACAATGACTATAATTATTTTAGGTGAATTGGAACAGAGATCCATTGTTACAGCTACTTGTGTTCATTAAGTAGGTAGATGAATGTCTGGACAGCTTTAATGGCAGCACAAAGTTCCTATCAGAAAAGTAAAATGTATGCTGAGTAAAAAATCTGCACATGTAGTATTGGCAAAGGACTTTTGAAATGATTAGAGATTGGCTATTTCTTACATACACCTACCTCTAATAGCCACTCTAAAGGAAGAAAAAAAATTGAATCACAAAAGGGCAGAATTTTAAATCAGGATGCATTGGAAAATAAATTTGGGGACATCAGGTCGGTTTTGGATTTTAGAGAGAGATCAATCTCAAGAAAAGTTTAATTAATCCTACAGAACAACCAGTAGTTTAAGTAGGATTTGCTACAACTTTATTAGAAGATTTCCTTGATAATAAATTGTAATATACCAATTGTTTCAAATGAAATTGAAAAAGAGAAATTAGATTTTTCATGGGTAAAATGTTATACTCATTCAAACATTGTAAGGTAATCTGTAATAAAGGGAATGTGGAAAATAGGTATACCCTGGTGGTGTAAGAGACAGGTAAGGGGCAATGACAAAAAAATTACAAAAATGTATTCATCTTTAAATAGTGTTTATTATTATTATTATTTGCTATGTTTGAAAAGTACCTCCTGCTGCAGAACAGATCAAATAGATTAGACTACTAATTGGAAAAGGTCCACCTAGTAACCAAATTAGGAGACTAGGAAAACTTTTACATGACTGCGGACACAACAGGAATGCACACGCACAAAATAAACAAACAAACGAAATAACAGGGGTAAGCCTTCAGCAATGTCCTGTTTAAATGATGATAATATGTTATCCTTCATTCCCTTTTAGAAGGCATGGCAACTTACTTAACTCGGGCCTTATAAATTATTTGTGTTGAGTGTATGTGTGTTTGTTTCGTTTCCATGGTTTCTATTAAAATAAACAGTCATAACATATCCATACCTTTTTGCCAGACTAATGTAAGCGACATTTGTTCAAATGGCACTTATGATAGTCTGGCAAAAAGGTATCGATATACTCTATACTTTATAAAATATTTGTTACATTAGTTTTTAAATATATTTTGAATATATAACAACTGGTACTTTCTTTGTAATTTGTCACAAAATGATAGGAGGTACTTTCTAAAGGAAGCAATTGTAGTTTGTTTTTCTGTACCTTACAAAAATATAATTTATAGAAAAAGAGTTTGGTGTATTATTTTTCCAAGTTTAAATATTTAATAATCAATAGAATTTTTAAGTTTTTTTTAGCGAAATTTACAAAAAAAAACTATGTTCACTGCTTATATTAAACTGATTAAAACTTCCTTTATTAAAATGATTATTTAAATGATAAAAAATTGATGTTATTGGAAGCTTTAATATTTTTTAATATACAGTGAAACAATAGTTTTTGTTTCTCCTGTAAATTTGTATAGAAAAACTATTTATTTCTGAATCTATGTTTGAATTTCCCGCCCTAAAGCATTTTTAATTTTCCCTCTATTTACTAGTGGCGCCATCATAGACTGGTTGTGGTAACAATCGCCCAAATAACTTTTACCGAACAAAAAAAATACATTGAGTTACACGTCTCGCTGGATTGTCTTTGCTACTATGGACTCGTGCGAATGAGTAGTAGCGCGACTCAGTGGCGCCACAGAGTGGCTCGTCTGGACAGGCCCCGGATATCTACCAAAATTTAGACAACGGGGTCGAACGTACCCCACGATAGTAGTTAAGGGATAAGAAAATTTATTTTCAAAAATAAATAAAGTAATAAAAGAAATTATAAAAAAAAACTTAAATAACAATTTCTGTTACAGTGTCCTCGTATAATAATAAATAAACTACAAAATGGGTTCAAGTTTTCATTATTTATTAAAAATAACATTGACATTAAAAATATAATCTGTTAAAATATTAAATAATTGAACAACAATATCACGTATAAATATGTTGGTTATATCAAAAATTGTACTATTAATTGATAAACTTTCAACCCAAAATATATACTCTAAATATTCGATTTATAAATAGAATAATTTTTAAAAAAAAAATTAAAAATAAAGTGAAATTGATTCGTGATAGTTGATTGTGACTGTGGCGTTTGGTAGTGGCAAAAATGTGAGTAATTAACAAATTTCAACACTATCTCCAAATATTAAATTATATCTATTACGTATAAAGTTTTAGATAGGTAACATTAATAATGAATTGAATATTTATTCTCAATCGTTTTGTCAAAATCATTTTAAACGAAAAGTAATAATTTTCCATAATCTTTACCTGTTATTAGGTTAATAGTTTAGGTATAGTATTTAACATGTGTTCACACTATTAAAACATATATTTATATGCTGTAAATTTTATCTTCGTGGATAACGACCTTTATTATAAGGTTGTTGTATAATATACCATTATTTGTATATGAACATTTTGTCTTGCGCAGAAACTCATAAAAACTTAATATTGTGAACAGGAATTTTAGGAAATTTAACAGCTAAAATGTGGCTATTTTAATGAATGAAATAAATTACTTGAGAGCAAACCGAACACCTCAAAAATATATAATTCATTCTGTGCCTTTATTTTTAGTCCGTTTTTTGTAAATTTTTTAGGAAATACCAATAATAAATAACAAAACTCAGGGTGGAGAAACCTTGAATTTTTTGTAAACCTTCGAAAAGTATTTATTTTGAAAATTTTTATTAGGAATTTAAATAAAAAACATTTGCGCGATATTTTGTATTAACTATAAGAATTTGCTACTTTTTGTTTTAATAAATATCTAGTAGTTTTTAAATGGGATTATTTTCCACCTTTTTTTTCTTTAACGTCTCTGTAGAGTGCTGCCTTATCGTTGCACAAATTTAAAGCTCTGAATATTGTCAAGACCTATCATGAAGTATTCCCAGTCGAACGCATATAAATAAAATTTCGTATTACAAAATCCTAAAACATTTTTGCTTTCGTGAGAGGTCCGGCTTAAAATCAGGCCTAAAAGAAGACAAGAACATTAGTAATCAATGTAGGTTCAAAAGGTTTTTTTTGAGTATATGGATGGTCACGTCTCAATTAAAAAAAAAAGATATAAAGATATCGCGTAATTGATTTAAGTAAGGAATACCGTCATAATAAACTTTATTTTTGATATATCCCCATACAAAATAATCCATAGGTTTTAAGCAGGGTGACCTAGCGGCCATCGAATAGGTCAGTCTGTCTGTACCAAATCACCCACTGGAAAATATTTCGTATAAATAATTTGTGATTAATGCATCATATATCGTTAACCATAAAATTTTCATTAAATACTACAAATTTAAACCATACGGAGTTCTCCTTTACAATTTACAACTTATTTGGAAAATAGAAATGTACAGAAATAGTAAGTATTCTACAAATCGATCAATAAGCAGTGGAGAATCTCAAGGTTCAGTATTAGGTCCAATTTTATTTTTATTATTCATCAACGATATCACAGACTTAAGAATAAGTGGTAGAATTACTTTAATTGCCGATGACACGAGTGAAACCTGGAATAATTCTGACAGATATTACAATTTATCATAGGCAAAGATCTAGTGAGTATTAAGTCCTGGTCTGAGTCGAATGGGCTTTGTTTCAACACTAGTAAAACTGTAGCATTATTTACAGAGGTACGTTACAACCATTAACTCTAAACAACAAACCGATTCTAATAGAAAATTCAATTAAGATGGTCGCTGGTTTAAAAAAAACCCTGTTCGTATTTTTTGTACTCCAACTTGCCTTCGCCTCACGAAATCAATTGGCAAACTCTTGCTGCCTTCATGTAGAAGATTAGCAGTTTCTTGTTCTCCGCATCAGAAGTGTCTAGGTCTACATGGTCGGATGAACCTCCACTTCTTTTGTTAAAATCTAACCACATTTTACACTGGGTCAGTTACCGAATTTCGGTTTGGTTTTTCAATTATCTAAGCTGCAAGCTATGGTGAAGACTTGGGACTGGTCAGTTGCTGTCCCTTATTAATTTGGTATAGTTTTTCATGTCTTCTAAAGTTTTTTTTGACGAAGTCTTTGATGATGGCTCAGACGAATTATTTTATGAAGTTTTATTAAATAAAACTCAATATCTACACACTTTAAATGCCTTCTCGCTTCATTTCTTAAATTCAATGAAGTTTTAGGTCTTTATATAGACGATTTCCTAAAATAGTCTACCGTAGAATGGGGTGAATAGGATCAATTTTAAATTTTAAAATAGCGTATCTCTCAGAGTGATATAGTAAGATATATCCTGTATATATCAAAATATGAGTTTATAACTGCTCTATTCATTTTTGATTCAAAATTTTTTTTTCAGCGATTCGTTACCCGCATATATATTTTTTTGTTTGCTGATCCTATTCACCTGCCATTGTGGTGAATAGGATCGACCATGCTTTTTTAATGTTTAAACGCATACTACCTTCTGTGGTGTGTATAGGATCACTTAACTTTTAAGTGTGAGTCCACCTAGAAATTAAAAACCCGATGGCGCGGCCAGTCGGAAAGGTAGCTACCAACTGCTGAACGACAAAATATCACTGATCGTTATAGAGGGAATAGTTAGGCAACCAATTAAATAAAAAATATGAGTTTTGATTAAAATATAATTTTTTGAGGTTTTGAATATGAAAATCCCACTTATTGATCCGATTCACCTCAGCGATCCTATTCACCCCATTCTACGGTACTCATTATCTTCTGTATGTTTTGCCAGAGCTGACTTCTTTTACTGCATTAATTACCTTCTTTTCCTTATTCGAATCTCATCTTCGCTATGGTTTACCTCTTTGGGGTTCTTGTGGCTTGTACCTCTTGGAAATTATTTTAAAATTACAAAAAAGAGCCATTCACTAGGTATTTGATTTAAGTAGAAGGACACATTGGGAAAATTACGGGTGACAGCGATCGGATTGAGTTTAGCCGCTCTTATGAGATAAGTCCACCGGCATAACATCCCGCGGCACGCTAGTTGATACCACCTACAATGAACCAGCAGCACGGGACACAGATTTGACTACGATCTTTTAACCGCAATAACTTTAATATACGCTAATATGGAGCTGGAATTACTAAGGCTGCTGATACCAGACTTGTCCTCCAATTGATCCCCGTTAAAATATTAAGCTTAGAGTGTACTCATTCTGATTACGGGGCTTTGGGTAAGACCGGTACCGGTATTTTGTCACTACCTAATAGGTCCTTTGAGTACGAAACAGGCATGAATACTTCAGGTTTCTGAAGATGGAAGAGGAGAAGGGAAAGCACATGAAGAAAGAAGAATAGGAAAAGGAAAGGCAGAAAGAAAGAAGAGGAGGTAAAGAAAAGACATGAAGAGGAAAAGACAAGGAGAGAAGAGGAGAAGGAAGGGCGAGAAAAAAGAGAAAGAAGAAAGGCGTAGAAAAACTGAGGTGGAAATTATAAATGGCTTGCTACAAATTCAAGAAAGCTCTACGCAAAAGGTAGGTCAGCTAAGCAGTCGAGTAGATCAGTTAAACAGTTGAGTAGATCTCTTAGCACAACAACAAGATACATTAAAAACTAATTTAGAGCAACAGGAAGAGAATTTAAAGACTAATTTAGAACATCAACAAGAAAATTTAAGGGCGTGCATTGGAACAGAGAAGTCTGAACAAGTCCTCCCAGAGAGAGACAAAATAAAGTTATCCGAGAGGTGCTGCCTCTAGTTAGCAACTAAGTAACAAATATACGTTCTGCATTTTCGCATCTGCGAATAAAAATGTATTCTTCTAAACTCACAGGTACGGGCTTTTGTATGGTATAGATTAAAATTTTTTTGACTTCGCCTCCTACTTCGGTGTCACAAGCTGAATTTTTCAGGGATGAAAGTACATGATAAGCTTACCCTTATTCCGGAGGTAATACAGAATTAGACAGTGCAAAAGGGCACTAACATAAAAAATCGAGTTATTGATACCACCATATAGAAAAAAAAATGCTTATTTTTTTTGTTCTAATGCACAATTAGGTCTTTGTAGGAAGTGTTTTTTATAATTATTTAAAAAAAATCATTTGCATTAGCCCTTATGGTCGAAAAAAAATTTAAACGTCAATATCTCGGTTTCAACCGTCCACAAATTTGTATAAAAAATCTTTTTTTAGAAATATACCTCTCATTTGACGAAAAACGAAGGCCTAAATGAGAAAAAACTATTCTTCATAAAAGTTTCGCCTTTGTATTAACAAAGTAACAGTGCTTTCCCCATATTTTTTGCTTTTATATTAACAAAAATATAGCAATAAACAATTAGTTATATCATGGTTTAACTAGAAAGCAAACATTGAAGGTAAAGCTTCTCGACTCTCTTTCTTCTCTCTCAGTGCTAAAATGTATGCAATCAGTTTGACTCTCTCATATTATTTTATTCAGGGATTATTGATTTATACGCTATGATTTATTTTTGTATTTTTTTGAGGAAAATAAAAAATAAGAAAATATGAACTATTTATTGAAGGTATAGACACAGTACCTATATATAAGTATCGATTATTAACAGTAAGGCTATTGCTTTGCAAAATACAATAAATTCCCAATGTAAAAAACATTATAATAATAATAATAATAATTAAAAGAATACCGGGTGTTCAAATTAAAGTGTTACAGTTAAATACCGCCGAAAATATGCATTTTAGAAAAAAAAAGTTTCAGGCGAAAGTTTTATAGTTTTTTGGGGGAAACATTTTGGCTAAAATTTTTTTTTATAGCTGATCATAATATGGCCATATCGCGGTGGACTTTGTTTTTTTAAATGGGAACACCATTTTTTTTGTAAATATTCTTAAAGTACATAAAAAAATAAGAAACTTTAGATGGAAATAATTTTTTTATTCGACTTTCACTTTTTGAGTAACAGCTACTTAAAAGTTTTGGTAGGCGAAAAAAAAGTTGGCCATATTATGGTTAGCGGAAAAAAACGATTTTAGCAAAAATTTTTCCCCACAAAACTATAAAACTTTCGTCTGAAACGTTTTTTTTTATAATAGGCAGAATTTTTTCACTTTTCTCTTTGTTGTAGTTTCAGCTAAAAAGTCATTGAAAGAGCGTTGTGTATGCCTATGTTAAATACATTGCCCAC